AACGAAATTGTCATATATGAATAATGCTCGTTGATTGGCTGCTTAGTTCAACTATTATCTATCTGTTTTGATCATGTATTAATAAAGCTTGTTTTTAATTGGTTAACAATCTTATAACAAAGCCTGTAATTTTCTGAATTGTGAGAAAGTCCCCCCTGCTCTATATAGTCGATTAGTTATTTATTTAATTTAATTAGTTAGTTAACCAACTACTTAATAAATATATATAGAAACGAAATAATAATGTAGATAAATATTAAATTAAATAGCGCAAAATAATATTTTAAAGTATAATTTTTTAAGATTCATAGTTTGAAAAGAGCTAATAATAAATTAATTTAATCAAATACAATTTACAAATTTTGTAAAATTAATTTTAAAATTAATTATTATCTATCAACTAGAGTAATATGATTTTTGACAGCTTTTAATTTGCTATATAAGCCTTCAACATGTTAGGTTGATTTTATATCAAGATTGATATTTTTTTTGTGTATACTGTGAGCCAACTTTTATTATATGGCATCTATGAATTATACATATACTTCTTTGTTCTTGGAAATTGTATCCATAATTTCTCAATTTCTTGTTTTATTTGATCTTCTGAAAGATCATCATATACAAGCTTTTGAACTGCTTGAATAAATTCATCAATGTTTATCTACTTAAGTTTGTTTCAGATATTTCAAAAATGTGCCAAGTATATAACTAATAACTTGTATTAGGAAATATAGTAGATATCACAAACATAAGAGCCAAATCTCAATCAGTCATAATTATTTCTACATTTAAATTACCTGCCAAAATAGTCAGCACTCTACACAATTGTTGCAACACCCAATAATAAAATCTTTCGTTTCAGCATATACAAGAGTAAAAGCTAATAGATATGTTGATCTGAATCTGTTAACACAGCAAATAACAATTAGTGGCATCAAAAATCTGATTTAAAATAAAATAAAAAAGTAAATAAAATAAAATACTATAAAATAAAAAAAAATAAAAAAATCACTATTAACTATTTGCTAATAATTGTATCTGTTAAATAATTCTATATTGTATATTTGATATTAAAGAATAATATAAAAATCCATTCTTATGCAATATAGATTTTTAGATATCAATATTAGATAACTAAATTTTCTAGATTATTTTAATAAATTTCTACTCAGATAAAATTTTGCAAGAGATTAAATAAGAAAAAACCTGTTTATCTTATAAGTTGCATCAATAATTAATATATTCTTTGCTATTGTAAATTTGAAAGCTGCACTTCAATATGTCCAGAAAATTGCCTGCATAAACAAGCCATCCATATTATATTCATTATTGTATGCAGGTTTAGTTGCTATGCTTAATATAATATTTTCATCATTTTGCAAAGTTCTGAGCAATATTTCAACTTCATTTAGCCCTTGCAACTTCTGTTGACACTGACAATTAACAGCATTATAAATGTCAGATTTATGTACATACTTTGAACTTGTAGAGGCCAAACAGCATATATATTTTTTGTCTGAATTCCATTATCATGAAGCTCCTTAATTATCCTTAGTTCATTTTGATTAAGTTTACTCATATTGATATTAAACTTCTTAGCATCCAGATAAAGTTCATAATTATGCTCTAGCCATAATTTTGTTATAGCAAATTCATTTTTACATTTTTAAAAATTTATCCTATGACAAATTTACAACCTGTTCATTTAGTGATATATCTCTTTTTTACTACTATATTTCCCTTGCTTTTTACAGACAAAAATGCTTGCCTATAATTATTACTATTAGAATGTTTAGTTGTTTTACCTAAAATTATAATGATATTTGTTTTTGTGATATAATTTTCTATGAATGTATATGCTTCATCAAAACTGAAAAAAGTGTTCTTTTTTTTAGGAATAAGATTAGCATTAGTATTCATAAAAGTTCAAATTGTGTATAAGAGAAAACTAAAGATAATAAATAGTAAGTATGAGCAAATAATAGAATGAAAAGTAGCAGAAAATAATTAAAATATAAGGGTAGTATAAATAATGTTATAATAAGGTTGGTGAAGAATTATTAGCAAAGAGTTGAAGAGTGTAAGAATAAGTTGAATCAACAAATTTAATTAATTAATTAATATAGTAAAGACTACTAACAAAGAAGAATGAATTATATAAATTAATAAAAAAAATACAATAAGGTTGGTGAAGAGTATATAAATGAAATTAATCAATTAATTAAAGAAAATTAGATAAAGATTAACAAAAATATAATAAAGTTGGTGAATGAGTATAAGGTTAATGAAGAGTGTATAAATAAGCAAAATTAATGAAATTAATTAATTAATTAATTAATATATCCTTATATCAACAAATTTAATTAATTAATTAATATATTCTTATATCAACAAATTTAATTAATCAAATCTTTAACAAATCTAATAAATTAAATATGATATAATATTGATATATGCTATATTACACATCACTAATATATGCAAATTATTGTCAAATTTCAAACAATCAATAAATGCATCAATTTTATTAGCTAAAAAAATTGATGTATATAGAATTACACAGAACTGATGTATACAAACAATTTTCCTTGAAAATATCTCAAGATTTAGTAATTCAAATTTAATAATTTAGATAATCTCGATGAAAAATTTGAATAATATCAAAATCATCAAATTTGGATTGTTGAATTACAAGATATTTATGAAAAACTTTTGTAATACAAAAAGAATTAGGTCTTCACAAATCAAACATGATAAAAATAAAACTCAAAACCTTAAAAATTAATTTCTCAATAATTATCTTATCAAATTGAATCAAAATTTTTGTTACTACTACAAAAATCATCAAATTTTAATATACAAATTTTTTAGAATTTTTAGTTTTAAGCATTGATGATATATTAATTTTTTTTAAATTTAATTATTTTTTTATTTTTTTAAATAAAAAAATTCCAACTTTAGCTTTTATCTAAAATTTGTTCTAGTGATTAAAAATCTTAAAAATAAATATGCAATTTAATATACAATCTTCTTCCTCTATAATCACACAGTTTGTATCAAGAAAATTGGTGATTATAAAAGAGTGTGATTATATAGAAGTCTTTTTTTA